AACAGTGGCTGCTCGGTGCACGGAAAGCTCAACTGAGTGAAATAAACTCGCGTGATTAACAGCGAAGTGATTAGATGCAGGCTGAAAGCCAAGCTCTGAGCAAAGTGCTCGTTTTTCTAGTTTCCCCGCACTGGCGCAGACCGGCGCAGACCGGTGTAGACCACACGAGAGTACATATGTAGTGTTGCTATTGTGATACTCTATCGGATGTAAGGTCACACACGTGTAGCAGCTCCATTCACTTGTTGTAGTTGCGTGCAAGCAGTGGCAACAATATCACGAGCACGCCAACACAAAATGCAATGCAACATTTACAACGCTGCCAGTCAACGCTACATGAGTACAAGTGTTCAGACTGCGTGGCTATGAGCTGCATCCTATTTAAATACACAGGCATTTCCTATTTTACGCTGTGTTCTCACTTACCAGGCCCGTTCCTCCTCCGTTAAATGCAGCCCCTCACGGTCTCACCACAAAGAAACGCGCGAGGAAAGTGGCAAAAAAATGCTTGAAACCCCGTCGAAGGGGAAAGACACATGGGCAGCGCTTTTTTGCCAGACAAAATGTACTTACCAACGAAATAGGACACCGCAAGGGGGGGAAATGTGCCGTCCCTCTTCGCCTCCACGCCTCTATCTCTGACTGTATTTTCCCAGAACCGCGCTCTCCGTGGGTAGCGTCGGAAATGTCAAAGATTCCAGCAGTGGAGCCGTCCCCCCGGAATGGTTGCCCTCGGCTCGGACGAGTCATGCGACCATGTTGCCCTGAATGTCGCCTGCTGCTCTCATCCGTGCGTTTAGGGATTGAGCCGTCGTCTCAACAGTGCTCTGGATGACAGCTATGGGATGAAGGAGGGGGGAGAGTGTGTGTGTGTGTGTGTGTGTGTGTGTGTGTGTGTGTGTGTGTGTGTGTGTGTGTGTGTGTGTGTGTGTGTGTGTGTGTGGTCAATCTGTTGAGGGCAGGGTGACACCATGTAGGGGGAGAGGAATATACACTTAATACCATTAATGTGTTTTGAGAATTATTGCATAATTAAGACTAAGTGTGGAAATTGGAAATAAATACAATCAAACAAAATGATCATTCTACTTCAATTTAATTATGTATAGATGAATGGTTTAAGAAGATATGATTGAATGTACTTATTATAATAATTCTCACATTGTATTTAATTTATAAATAAAATAAATATATATTAATGCATTTCCTCCAAACACACATGACAACAAGAAACATAGCACAGTAACTGAGTATACCTTCACATCTCTTTAAAAGAAAACACATTGAGCTGTTTCCTCCCCAGCTGTTTTTAGTGTGGATTTTTTTTATGGTTGAGACGTGCCCATGAAGGAATCCATCTCGTCTTCGTAAGTCTTTGTGGTGGAAAAACTCGGTTATCTCCCCTGACCTTGTAATTGCTCTATGCCTCGGAGGTAAATGCGGTTTTCGTGTGAACATTGTGATCACTCGGTCGATGGGAATGTTTTTTCCTAACAGTTTGAATTAAAAAATAGGCTACTTTTTGAAAATGTATAACTATGTATAGGAGCACTGTTTGTGGTCTAAGAAATAATTTCCCTTTTCAGTTGTGTAAATGCTTGTAGAGAAATTACTTGTTCCTTTCAGCCAGTGTTTGGGTGGAACAACTGACTCTCACTCACTCACCCACGTCTAGCTCTCCCTGCCTTATTATTCCACAGTGGACCTCACACAGCCATTTACACTTTCTCAACCTACACAAGTTCACAGCCTTAACATATTGCAAAACAAAAACCAAAAGTATTTAGCCTGTTGGCCAATCTCTACATACACTCCCAAATCCAGTAAGTCTTCATCATAATCTTGTGAAAATCTCATGACTTTTTAATTCTCACCCCCAGGATAACATAGGAATATGTATTCATGATTTATTGGGTTTACAAACATTTAGAAATATGTTCATAGCCTCGAGTTCCATTCCATCTAGCCCATATAACACAAAACACACAAACATCATGGGTGAGTCATAATCTTGACAATGACGGGAAATGTTTTTAATAATTGTGCAACATTGTCATCAATTACAGGCATATTGCTCATTTCAATTAGAGATTCCCATAGCAGTCCAGAAATTATTGCGTTACTTCATTGCATTTTTTTTAAAAATTGGGTATAGTAGTGTATTAAAGTGTTCCAACCTCAGATGAAGCATCACCAGAAGTAGAGAAGTATTCAGATATTTGTAAAAGTAAACTAAGAGATATTCACACATAATCTATGCAGTGTTGTACTTTATTTTAATATCAGAGCACTTAGGTAAAAGTAGCAATACTTTGGTGCAGAAGTACACAGCCAAAGTACAAGTCCTGCATTTGAAAATATACTTAGATAAATATACATTTGTATCAGCATCAAAATATAGCCTAACCTACCAAAAGTAAAAGTACTCATTACACAGCAAGGCCTATTTTAAAATGATATACATTATTTATAGACGAGGGTATAGGGAGAGAAATAATCTGTTACCATTGAGTGGAACAATAGTATTTACAATATATATATATATATATATTAATTTATGTTTTTATATTTTTAAGATCAAGGTTATACTTGTTAACTTTATACAGATACCAAGGATCATCTAAATGGCTGATTCTTATGTCATATACTGTATGTCGTCTTCTCACCGAAATTTCAATTGTTTTTAAATTCAATAATCCAAGTTAAAACAGAACATTCGATTTATTTACTTCCTTCAGTTGTAGCAACTGAGTGAGGAAGCTTTTGACAGCAGCACTTGTTAAACCACTACTTGTCAACATCTTGTACCTCAGATACTTTTTAACAGTCACACAACAAATATCAGTTTCATCACAGTTACAGGAAATCGATGCTCTTTGTTCTTGCTTTCCTGGAGTCTTCTCAGACCATGTTGCTCAGACCATTACAGGAGGTCTGGTTACTCCTGTAATAATTATTGTACAGTCTGTGTTGCTATAATAAACAACAATTAGATTGGAAAATTCTACATCTACTGATGTTTTGCAGCAATTTGCATGCATGTTACTACGTTTTCAGGAGCATTTGGTGTACTTTACGCAATCAACCCATGTATTGGCAAACAGTAAAAGCCATCAATTAAGTAAACTGCAGCTTAGCTTTTGTCACAAGGGATAATGAGAACATTCTGTATAAGTCTTGTATACGGGCAAGCCTGCTGGGTGCAGTGTTTACCACATTTTCCAAATACACTCCCACCACTCAAACAAACCTTTATTCTAACAGTGCCATTTGTACGATAATCTTTATGGCTTCCTCCAATCAACAACTTGCTTTCATCATCAATGATGATGATGTTTTTTTGTTCGAACCTTTGAATGCTTTGTTAAATCTGAATTATAAGTATGATAAAGTTATACGTTTTCTTCTTTTCGCAGGCCTTTATGCCTTTTACAGATACTCTGTTCTTTAACATTTTACCATCAATATGCTGGATCCATTTACATAACCCACTGTACTGTGAGCTAGAGAGTTTAGTCCTTACCATAGTGTTACATTTCGTACATATCTCCCTTACACTGGTGACTGTAAATAAATCTGGTTCATGTTAGTTTGTGAGCTCACAGCCACCAATATAGAGTAGCGTATATATCACATAAGAGGCAGTTTTTACGGACATTTGCCTTCACATATCATGTAAAACTGAACTTCATGTGATCAAATATTTTGTGTAGACATATGTGGTTTTTGGTAATATGTGTATGTGAAGTCAAGTTTACCAAAACCACATCCCTGTAGTTTACCTCACTATTATAGTGTTTATTTACAACTAACACTTGTTTTTCAGGGTAGGGATAAGATTGTGGTCTTAATAAAGATTTAAAAAAACGAAACAATGACATGAAGTATGTTAGATATAAATTCCAGTCCCAAGGGTCAAATTCATGGGCTTTGTGCACCCAGCAATCACCTATCTCATAGTTATATGTGAATGTAACTTGTAGCAGAAAGGTGTGTGTAAGTGACATATCTTCTTGCCCTTATTGTCTACTATGTCCCTATTTTTGTGTTGGTTAAACCAGCAAGTTATAAGATATAATAATAATAATAGCCTTTTTATTCTTCATAGCAACCTATTGGATGCTTATTTTCAGTGCTGCTTATTTTTTACTTGAATTTCAGAAATGATACATTTTACTTTAGGATGGACCTTACACATTAAGTTAAGGCCCCAAACATCTGCTGCCCTCTTGTGGCAAAGATGATGTGTGCCCCTGACTGCTTTATATTTGTGGTTACTACTCTACAGTAATATTTCAATGGCTATGAGGCTGAATCTGGAAACCAAATCAGAAATAAGTCATAGACTAAATGTCATTCACAACTTGCCAGATAGGATGCAGGACTCTGGTATAAAGAAGAGATTATCTGCAAACAGAATGTACTATTGTTTTTGTCTACTTACCTTCCTCCATGTTGCAAATTCCACAATGCACTTCAGGAAAGCACAGCTGTTTTTGTTTTTCTGTTTTGTGATGTTTTTCAAGTGTGGCCTAATGAATTAATACTAGCGTATTGTTGTGCAATCCTGTGTTGCATACTGATAATAAATTATCCTTTTTTAAAACATACCACAATTAAATTGCAATGGGTATGTGTTAGATAAGCTCTAGGGATGCTGTTCGATGGATTTTGTCACCTTTAGATGCCTTTAGTTTCCCTTTGTTCATGTGAAATTAAGATGAATGGCAAGCATAGGCCTAGATGACAGTGGTATGAATATCAGAAAGAATGTCAATATTCGTATACCTCAAATAAGGGGCAAACTACTCCATTGTTATACTGACAAACACTCTTTCATTGGTACAATCCCTCTTCCTCATAAAGCAACGTACACGCTCAGCCTTCATTCAGTCATCAGCTATACAGTCCACATACTGCCCTGCCCCCCCCCCTTCTCCCTCTCGCGCACGCATGCACACACGCGCTACGTACACACGCTCCACGACACACACACAAACATGGCGGCCTCTGTTTCACCGCTACGCTCCTCCTTCAGGATTTGTAGCCCGTTAACGTTACAACATAACTGCTGCAGGGCCAAACTGCGGATGCACAGAAAATGTGAGAGTCAAAGGAGACATCTTCAGCACTCTGCAACGAGGTAAATGTCACTCAGTTTAAAACACCGCAGTTTTTGTATCATTTAATTACCTTGCGGAGGGATGAGCTATGTTTCAGCACCGGTGAAGGCGTGTGTACCGGTCACATGTCGGAGGATGCTGATTGACAGCAGGTTTCACCTTTCACTGTAGAGAGGGCAGGCTTAATGTCAAATCCAGGTCTGAATTAAACCAAATATGCCACTAAATGTGTCAGGTATTGCCAACATAACGCTGCTTTCCTGGATGTGGTTAGCTTAACGTAACACCGCTAAGCATCATGTGTGGTGCTGGAGGACGGTTTAATGCAGTCAATGGGAATCAACCATTAAGGACCTTGCAACGTATCCGCAGTAATTAGGCTTAACACTTAGGTCTCTTATCTGCAATAATTAATACTAAAACAGAATCATAAGTTAACTATAGTAAGATGATAAGAGAACAGTTTTGTTAATCCGTTACTATGGTTACCTACTTTACTGTTACCGTTGGTCAAACCGTTTTTCTTTTCTTTTTTAAATCCTGTAAAACCAATTAGAAGCATAACATTAAACGTTTCTATCTGCAGTGCTCTGAAATGTTCATTAGCTTAGCCTGGTGAAAAAAAACATTTACAATGTACTAAGTAATACTAGCCTACACAACTGCAACTGACTGGAACGTTTTTATGTATTCATTCATAAACCAATGTTAAACATTTAGGGATTACAAAAGGGTATGCAATGCATCGTTAGAAGGAAATAAATAAAGTTCAAATGAATTCATCCAATTAACAGCTTCATAAGGAATCATATTATAGATGTTCTGTGATGTGTTAAAGGCTGCTCATTAATTCATGTTTTTATGATGTTCCTCCCAGGCATGCTGCTGTGGTGATTTCGGGGACGGAGTTGGCCCGTCAGCTCCACAGAGAAATCCAGCGTGATGTGGAAGAGCTGGTCGCTCAGGGCAACATGAGACCCCATCTAGGAGTGGTGTTGGTGGGAGACGACCCCGCCAGTCGTACATATGTTAAGAACAAGACCCGGGCAGCCAGTATCCTGGGTATGAGCATTGCATGTATTCCTGAACACTTTATGCATAATGTGTATCATGCAGGTCAAGAAACATTACATATTGCACATCACATTTCATAGGCATGCATGAACATATAGCTACACATGGATAAACACTTTTCGAAATTAAAATCATTGTAATGTGTAAAGTCACACAACTGCAAACTACCATGCTGGCAATCTTTGAACATGGGCTGCTGCAGTAAGGTTTTAGCTGTGTGAAAAGATCTGCAAGTTCCTTAGTGGCAGCCATAATAAGGGCTGGTTTGAGTCTTTAAAAGCAAAGGAAAAGTGCTTTAATGCTCTTTTCTTATCTCCTTTAGCATAGGGTACACTAAACCATCCCTTACCGAAGGAAAAGAGATGATGCTGCCCCACAAATCCTTGCAGGAACAACTTACCATTCCACTGTCACTGATGTCCTATAAACTATTGATACAATTAAATTAATTATTCTTTAGAGGTTTAATTTCTCTCTTGGACAGGAATCCTTACTAGATGAAATAGTCAATTTTAAAATGTTGTATGCGTCATGAATACAATTTCAGAAAAATATCAGCCGTCGCATAGTGCAGTCAGATTGTCTTAACACAGCGGTTTATTTCTCCTAATTCCCTATGAATCTCTCCATGACCTCATGACATAATCCAACTAGGTTTAGTAACAGTACATTTTTGACTTTTTGACCACAGCCACGGAGTGTGTGTAATGTGTTTGTGCTCTCCAGGTATTTCCAGTGACACCGTGGTGCGGCCCAGCTCGGTGTCCCAGGAGGAGTTGCTGGAGCTGATTGACAAGATGAACCGGGACTGGAGGGTCAGCGGCCTGTTGGTGCAGCTGCCACTTCCCGGTAAACACAGGCCCCACAGCTGCCTCTCACTGACATCAAAGTTAAACCGATAAGTCTGTACAGTCCAATTTGCAGTGATTGTGTCTGTATGGTTATTTCCTTTTAGACACATGTGGAAGTGATTTGCAAATAGACTTCGATGGCTTTAGTTAAATAAATATATTTCCATTGTAGAAAAATATAGGTTTTTTTTCTCCCACTTGCCTTGACAATAATAATGATGATGATGTTAATTAGAAGAGTTGCTTGCCTTTGAATGACCTTACTTTACCCTGATAGGCCTTTCTAACAACTGACATGTTGACGTTATTAATCTTTACACTAGAGTTGGCTCTGTTCAAGTGTTCGAGTAAGAGTGACAGTGAGTTAGCATGGATGAGACAGCAAACCTGTGCGGATTCAGCCATCATTAGTTCCATTATTTGGACCTTTGCTTTTTGGGCTGTGATGAATCTGAATATTTCCCCAAAAAAAGCACATAGTCCCAATAAAATAAATAATTAAAAATCTCTCGTCCTTCCCCCCTCTAGAGCACATCAATGAGCGAGCAGTTTGTAATGCCATCGCTCCAGAGAAGGATGTGGATGGATTCCATATTGTGAATATTGGTAAGCTGTGTCTGGACCAGAGATCCATGGTGCCTGCAACACCTGCAGCCGTGTGGGAGATTATCAAAAGAGCAGGTAAACCACGAAAACCTCTTCAGCTCCATTACTCATTCTCCAACTTTATTTGTAATGCTTTTATTTGTAGTGCTTTCAATTGTGTTTGTCTTTTTTTACTTTGCTGCAAGCAAAAAATCCTGTAGTGAGCAATAATTCTCTAAATAAATGTAAGTTTAACAAAGTTCAACAGCAAGGTTGCATTTAGTTCAACCTTTTTTTCTTATGTCTCAATCATTAAACTATGATATTGAAGCAACATTTATAGTAAATTACTTTCCTCCCAAAGAGCTTCTTGCATTGTTAGCCCTGTTGGTTTTACTTGACTCCTCATCTTACTCATATTCTGCTAATCAAACCTTAGCACATGTTTGATTAATTCCAAAGTAAACTCTGGAGGCAAAGGGAGGTGTGAATACATCATCCTGTGTTTTCACATCCCACTAGATGGCGACCAACCATCATTTTCCCCACCTGTACTTCAAATCTGTCCATTGGTAAATGCACTTGTTAACATAGTCAGCTTCTTGACCAAGTAAAGATGTAAATATTTGGACAATACAATAATTATTATGCTCTGGTGCAAAATGTAGATAAGTATGAACATGTATTGGGTCTTTCTTTTTTTTTACAAATTACTCTCAGTGAGGTTTCTACAACCACTTCTAATGAAATACAAAATATATTGTTCAAAATCTCCAAAAGGAAAAAAAACGTTGTGAATGAATTGGCAATAGTTTGAAATAAGCCCATCACCCTTCAAACAACAAGCTAGTTTAATTCAATATTTGTAAACTGACACAAAGTCAATAGTTTATCAGTGAGGACATTTTCATTCCACATGAGGATTTAGAGTGTGATTGTACTTTTGAAATACAAAGAACATTTCAGTATGATAGCATTGGCTGCCATTGGCTACAGTATTCCTATGTTGCTTTACCAAACCAACTAGAGGGTTGTTGATCAATTATAAGCAGAGCAGAGCTAAACCTTCATTTAAAAGGTGATTTGTGCAGTTTAGGTTACTGTTGTGGCTGAGAGGCCTGACTGCTGAGTTGTATAGTCTGTCAGTAAAAGTTTAGAAAGCCAGTGTACGTGAGAGCATGTGGAGGGTCCTTGGCGATGTTTGACTGTTTGTTTTTTATGCAATGTGTATGATGATTGATGATAAGTGCCATGTTTGTAGGTGACAGAGACCCTGAAGGCTGTTTTCTCTACCAGCTATCAGGGATTTTTGCAATTCCCATACCAGACAGGGTTAAAGAATGCTTTTTCTGCTGCCCCTTAAAACATGTATTGAGGAGGAGAAGGTGAAGGGTTATTTTTTCGCTCTCTGCGCTTCATAGACACACTTGGCTTTTGGGCCGGAAAGAATGTTGAGATAGCATTTAGAAAAAAATAATGTATGTGTATGAATCTTCTTATGGAATTCGATCATCTTTAAGCAATCGTATGTAGACCAAAGAGAAAGGGCCCTTATGCATATTGATGGGGAAGTTGGGATACATTCTAGAAAGAGAACACATGCAAAACTTAAAGAACTGAACTGAAAATCTACATAAATAATACAATTTCATTCCTACTTCCATAAATTCCTTTTTTTCTTTAGCTGTGTGTTTGTCAACTGACGACACGACTGGACAACATTCATATATTCAGTATAGCCTTTATGAACCAACTGAAATACCGTCTAATACATGCATACCTGTCCTCCCTCTATCAATCATTTGAACAACTCTGGTGTCGGCTGACAATAGATGTAGTAATTGTTACTGACGCGACTTTGTGGTGCCAGGCTGTGGTGCAGCCGAAACAATCGCCCCCCGCACGCCTGTTTGATCATTAAAGGTGAATTTCCGCCCCGGGCTACCTGGGTGTTTTTATTGAAGTTCAGTATTTTGTGCCAATAATTTTTTTTTGCCTCTTGCACACTTAAGGTTACCTTTATTTCAAATGACTGAATCAATCCTAATTCATTATCAAACATTCACTTTCCTGAAAAATGTGTTTCTGCAGGTATTGAGACAGTGGGGAAGAATGTGCTGGTTGCGGGTCGCTCCAAAAATGTTGGAATGCCTATCGCAATGCTGCTGCACACTGATCGCAAGCATGAACGCCCCGGGGGTAAGTGTGAGTGCGAGTGTGTCTGTGCGTTTTTAACTTTGTCTGTGAGTCATCAATGCATTGTAAAATGATTTGAGTGCTTCTCTTTGTATGCATATTATATTGCACCATGTTGGCTTTCCCTGAAAGATATGTGACGTTGTTGTCATCAGGAAGTGACCGACAAAAAGTGGATTTTATTTAAGCAAATAATAAATGCTGAGGCACATCCTGCGGGAGGAGTTCAAATGGGAAAGATCCAGGTGAAGTAAGAGTACTCACAGGGCGAGACTTTTGGCAGACGGATAAAGTGTCCTTATAAGGGTGTAGGAAGGACGGAGAGGATTTGGAAAGGTATTGCAGTTAATTTGCTTTTTAGATGAAGCAACATCTGTTTGAGCTGTCAAAGTGTAGCATTATTACCGCTCGAATCAACACAAAGGTGTAATAACTCAATAACATTCAAACACAATGTGTAACATGTGTAATAACGGCCCTTTACAGATGTCAGGGAAGATTGATTGAAGTTGTCTTACCTGGCGTTGTCTTATAAATCAAAGGAGTGGGCCCCCTAAAAGCAATCTTTGCACACTGCACCTTTCAGAATCAGAATACCTTTATTCGTCCCACAGAGGGGACATTTACATTTGTTACAGCAGAAAAGAGCCAAATACAGCTTAATGTTAACTAAGAAACATGCATACAAAAATATTAAAGATACAAAAATTAAAAAGAGTACACAATTTACAAAATACACATCCTGTAACAGTTCTGAAGATATATGTATCAGACATAAAGGTCATTAGACATGCAGAAACAAAGCTGCAGTCCCCGCTGTCCATAACTTTGAGGGCCCAGTGATTCATTTAGGTTGCTTAGCTGGTGAAAGTGTAAGATCTTAGACCACGCTGATCTCAACCAGCTGGGGTATGTAATGCTTCTGATACATGACGCTATCCTCATTTGTATTTCCCTTTGTTGAGTTTTGAACAGGAAACATGGAAGTAGTGAAAAAGCATTTGAATTAAACATGTTATTATCTTATCTGTGGTCGAACTGTATGTAATCAATCAGATGTATTAAGAATGAAAGGGAACTCTTACATTAAAGACAACCTATTGAGCTTTTAAACACATTTGCATTTTTATTCTTTAAAGCTTTTACACAGTACGTTTCCAGCGTCCCTTTGAACCTTCTATTGCTAGAAAGACGAGGCTAACTAAATGTGCAGCATCACACGATGACGCAGTTACAGAGCCACAGGTTTAACTGAGTTTTAATAAGTGAGTGCATAGACATTTAGGGGACAGTTCCCTTTTGTTTTCTTTCACTCTCTTGCTTACCCACACAGACACACACACACACACACAGACACACACACACACACACACACACGCACACGCACACACGCCCATACACGCATCACATAAGGTATGTGTCCTGCAGGTTTGATGTGCTGTGACTTGCCTCTCATTCTTATCTTCCTCGAAGCCCTCTCTGAGCGATCCTCTGCGTCCCGCCCCACACCTTCTCCTGGTCACAGTTCAGTTGTGACTACGCAGGATGTCCTCACATATTTAAGATTGAGATAAGGATTACTTTCGTCATTTTGACTTTCCTCATTGTGTAATTTCTGACTATGTGTCATATACCCCAATACTAATATAACAAACATACTACGATGTGTACACACTATTTCAATAATCTTTGAATTATCCTGTGCTACTGAGCCATAATCAGAGGTGGGAAGTAACTAAGTACATGATACTTGTACTCTACTTGAGTATTTCAAATGTATGCTATTTTGTACTTAATAATAATAATAATTTAAATTTATATAGCGCCTTTCACGAAACCCAAGAACGCTTTACAATGGGAAGTAAGAAAACAAAAAGTAATAATAATCATACAGATACACAGGCTGAAGAAAACAAAACAGGAACGGGTTGCTGAGTACTGTATATTAGTTGAGGCCAAAGGCCTGAGTGAACAGATGGTGTTCGAGGTGTCCTACTTCTACTCCACTACAATTCAGAGGTAAATAGTGTACTTGTACTCTACTACATTTATGTTGTACCTTTAGTTACTTTGCAGATTTGGATGAATGATGTGAAATATTATTCACTTAAATCAGACTTTAGTAAAACCTTGATTACATTTACAATCTACCCTGCAGTATACAAAGTGATGAAAACTAGCTGCACCTTTAGCAGCTGTGATAACACTTTAATGATCAATACATATAATCAAAACATATAATATATATGTTTCTGAAATGGACCAATCTGCAGAATGAGTACTTTTGGTACTTTAAGCATATTTGTATGCTTAAACTTTTCTACTTTTACTTGAGTAACATTTTGATTGCAGGGCTTTGACTTGTAACAGAATATTCCTACACTCTGGTACTTCTACTTTTACTCAAGTACAAGATGAGTACTTCTCCCACCTCTGGCCAAAACATATTTAAAATACTGTTGCTTTTACTTTTCAAGCTTGTAAACACTATGACTATTTTCCATCATACTGTAGCATGCTTCTCTGAATATTCTCTGTGAATGTGCAGTGGCATCATCGATCAAGTTATGCATAAAACTATTACAAACAATCATATATTTGTATTCATTTTTTCTCCTGTGAAAACTGACAAAAGTAAAAATGCAGTAGCTGCAAATCACCAAGATGTCTTCATCATAATATGTTCAGGTTAAATGTAGTGCGTCTGAAATACTCATCAACAGGTTCTTTAATGTTTAAATTATACCTACAATGAAATAATAAAGCTTGTGAGGTTTACGAAATATTGATAAACCTTCAGGAACATATGTGATATATGTTTTTCTGATGTTAGCAGATTTGACTGTAGGCATGCCTCAGGAAACCCATACAAACATGTCATTGTTAGTCAGGATAACTGTCACGTCCACACATTTCTGAGAGACTGTTTCTTTAAGAAGCAAAACGTTCCTGAAGAAAACCCTTCACAAAAAGAGATATGTTTTAAATATAATTTGTCACTGCTCTGAGCACTCAATAGGTCATTTAATTAGGCAAAAATGTGTGTTTCCTCTCAGGTGATGCCACGGTTACCATCGCCCACAGATGTACACCCAGGGAGCAGCTGAAGGAGCTCACCTGCCTGGCTGACATCATAATAGCAGCTGCAGGTATATCTACAGCCAAGACACCCTGTAATGACACCTTTAACACACATTCCTAATCATTTACAGATTAACAACTGAAGTTAAACATCTCATATGGATACAAGTATGTCAAGTTGATCAATGGCACAAGATCATGCAACTCACAATCATTTGTCATTTAATATTGACTTACAATCTTTCATATCAAAGACGCAAATGTGTAATAGGCTATTCGGTCAAAAAGTGAAGACACATTTGAATTGTCCAACGATTTTTGATCTTGTATTTTTGATTTGCCAAAACGATTTCCTCTTATGTTTACATGTCCATTATACATGTCCATTGTATTGTAAGCAGCACTACAGAACAGGCATTAGGTTATGGATGAATTATATCATGCAAAATCTCATTTGTCTGAGTAATAACGTTATCTCTGTTTCACTTTCAAATACCTTGGTGAGTTACTAATATGTGAAACTACTCATGTTGTTTTCCCTCTCGTTGCCTTTGATGTGGGTGATCCAAGCTTAACAAAATATGAATGAAAACAGGGTGTTGTTGCACACTCTCAAATGTGTCTGGTTGAGAACTTTACATGTGTCAAAAGAGGTTTCAACATGTTGGAATTGCCATACAGGCAAGGCAATTATATGTGTGTGTGAAAATCATAATAATCAACACTGGAGTTTCTGTATATTTAACTGTTTAACAATTGTGTGCGTGGGTCGCAGCTAGAATGTGAGACAATCAATCTGTGCAGGGCAGGAGTTTCTGTTGAAAGACTGTTAAGTGACGGTATATGCCTTTGGTGGGGGCTGTGTGGCACTTCCTTTGTAATGAATAGGATGTTTCCTGATGACTAAAAGCAGCTCTCGGGGAAGGGCACTTTATTTTATTTTCATCCAACTGTCAGGGTGGACCTTTGGAAAAAAGGGACTGCATTTACTCTGCACTGTATGATTAAGTGAACTGCAGCATATCTGTCTACACCTGTTTTTATGTCGCTGGGAAATTAATATGCGCTTTATATTGTTGATAATCGAGTGAGCGTTTGGGATTTAATTATTTTAATTGGACATTATACTCGGGGTGTGGTTTACATTAGCGTGTCAATAAGCGATGTCCGCATGCTAAATACAGTATGAGTATTCTCACATTTGGTACTTAATTGTTATTTGACAGACATGATGCTATTGCAGAAGAGCTATAATTACAGTCTGTCTGGCAGCCAACTTCAAAGTGACCAAAATAAATACATAAAGTTTAATTATTTCCTTCCTCTTAGACAGTCAGCTGAGGTATCGTCTTATTCAGCTGTGCTGACTTTCAGGTCCAAGATAAAGTAGTCATTTGTCCCAAAGAGCCTGTGATTAAAAGGAGATGACAGCAGAAAGGAATCCACTTGCTGTTTAATAAACTGGCACAGCTTTTATCTGTGTCCCAACATCGGTTATTTACATTTGTATAGGAATGTCAGGTGAGGAGGGTGGGTCCTTGTCTTGAAGGGGGGCTGAAATCTTCTCTCAAGATCTAAATGATTTTTAATGATACTTTGCTTACAAACTGCATATCAAATGATTTGTGTTAAAATAGATTACCACAAAACCCATCTCCAGGAATGTTCAATGCACAGAGAGGGGGGAGGAATGAGGGTAATGTATAAGGGTAGCGCAGCTCATTTTCCCCAAGAGGCATGATGTGTCCATGGGTTGCACTAGCTGACGTTCTCATTGCAATGTAATGAACATCATTCTCTTGGAACATCTAGTTAAGTCACCTTGCGTCTGGTAACTGTTAACCCCCCTTGGTCGCTGTGTGTCCAGGTGTTCCCAGGCTGATCACAGCAGATATGGTGAAAGAGGGCGCAGCTGTCATTGACGTGGGCATAAACCGCGTTCTGGACCCAAAAACGGGGAAACTCCGGCTCGTTGGTGACGTGGACTTTGAGGGTAAGCGATCCAAACATTAAGTTGAATTTATTCATAAAATGGTGACTAAAGCTGCAACTTTTACATCATTTGTTATCAGGTTTGTTCATATGGGGACAGAAAACCAAATTGTTTAGCAAATTGTTTTTTCTAACAATTAATACAGATATCATACGTTGGCAACAGTTTCTATTATTTTGAATTTTCGCACTTTGTTTTATTTTGTGTGCCTCTGATAATATCCAGGCTCCCCACAGTACTGCTAATTGAAATGACCTCACAGGCTTCTGGTGATAGATAAGAATATATTGTTAGGTTTACTGTAAGCAATGTTGAATACGTTGTTAAACATATATTTACCTGTTAATCTTAGCTCTGGGTCTTGGAAGTAACTCATTTGGTTTGCCTTGCAGGAGTGAAGGAGAAGGCAGCCTTCATCACACCTGTTCCCGGAGGCGTGGGTCCGATGACCGTCGCCATGCTGATGAAGAACACTGTGACCGCTGCCAGAAACGCACTGATGCATTAAACACACACACTTGTTTTATTGAATGATCTGTAGTACAAACAGTGTACAACTATACTCACATACATTGATTCATTTAGGTTTACACACACGTTACCATCAAACACACTTTTATTTAAATACATAAACTAAAGACTCCATACCTGCTGGGAAACTTACTTGATATGTACTTACTATATGTTGGATTTGTTCATTTATTTGGGTTATTTATTTCAGTGTTCACTTTTTAAGATTTAAGATTAATATTTTTTCTACTGAAGTTGTTTTGGTTCATTTTTGAACATTCCAGATTCCCTGGAAAAGGAATATTAAATGAAAAACAATGCAGTGCCAGTACTACAATCTCTGTCTTTCTTTTCTGATTCACAGATGCCCTTTTTTGCCATTTTGCCTTTAATGGAGAGTGAACTCTTCAGAAAGAGAAGTTTGACAACACAGATCCTCACCTGGAATCAAACCAGAGACATTGTGAACATGAGGTATTAAATACAAGATCTAATGATTTCTACTTCGGTTCACAGTCATTTTACTGATAGAAGAAATGTTGTGCATCGAAATAAGTCAAAGTAAAGTGAGGCACCATTTAGAAAGGGTTTATACGGTGTAATCAATTACTTTAGTAATATTAATACAAATGTATAGCACTTTATATATTAGGTATGAACATTTAGAAACAACTTCTGGCTTTAATCTATTGGTGTTTGTTCTATCTGAGCTATGTTAATTTGTAACAATACATTCCTTGCTATTGTAAGGAATGATATTTACCGGATTATGTATGTTGAATTTCTCACGTTTATCACTTGAAAAATGGGAATTTATTTTAATAATAAGGCGTAAAGCTTGGCTAGCTGTTTATCCATTAGTGACATTTAAAATAGTACACATTTGGAGATGCAGTACATAAAGTCTTAAGTTTATATTAATGGCGTATGACTGATCTAAAAACATTAGCTGGTGATTTATTTATCATTAGTTAAGGTTATAATTATGGCTCATTAGCCCTCTAAAAAAGGGGTACTGATATTGCAATAAAATAAGAATGACTAAAGACTGGCATTTCAAGAATTCTTCATCCTTAAAACATTTACCATTTAGGTTTATGTCTTATCAATACTTGTTCTCTTCACCTCTCATACAGGAAGCTAGAGGCAGCTATTTTACTTGTGAAAACCTTTGTGTAATCTTCGCTTTGAAGATATTGAGGCGTTCACAACATCTGTCAGGCTTAAAGCAACCACTAAAACCTGCAAAGAAGGCATTTGAGTGAACTATCAACCTGCCAAAGGATTGCGTTGGTTCAACACTTCCAAAGAAGAAACGTCAGTAAAGCTTCTGGGCAGTAACGTGCCCCCGCCAGCAGCATCAAACATTTCCAGCTTTGCCTCTGCATGCAGAGTCGGTGCACATAAAGAAAAGAGTCCTCATTAAAAAAAAAAAAAAATCTTCGGCTCATTGATTGGCGGGTTCAGTGGTTGGGAGGTTGGTATATAAACTCAGAGAACTGTGCTGATCACACAGAGGGAGTTGAGCTGAGAATCAGACATCACACCGACAGAAGACAAGATGGTTACACAGAGACAGAAATACCTGGAGAACGGTAAGGTTCTACTTTAGTCAAGTTTTAAATAACATTATGTTTCATATAAGATACCTTAATCAGAGGAACTTTATTACAATTTGGTGTTTTGGTGATGAAACTAGAATAGCAATATTTCAATTTAAATCACAATTCTGTCATAGATGTGTGATCACACCAGTAAAGGAGTATAAGAATGACAGCATATTAAAAACAAAACTTGATTATAAATCTGAATACATTTTTTTCCCTCCATGTATCCAGCCCTCCTCTCAGCAGTGGCAGTGCTGCTTCTGGCCACAGCAGGACGATGTGAAATGCTGACTGTCACCGTGGAGACCACAGCAACACCTGCTACATTAAACTCCTCTCCCACCACACAGCTCCCCAACAGTAAGTGTCCTCAATGGAGGCAGATGTCTCTCAGCTGTTCTCTTTAAAACTGGTTTACCGGCTTTCTACATATATCTTGTGAACACAAATTGTTAACTTTTTCATATAAGATTTAAATTGCAAACATTTAGAAAGATGTGTGGGGAACAGTAGTCGCTACGGTGGTCCGATTGTGCCACTCGTAATTGCCAAAGATTAACTGGGATTGGTTCCAGCCCCCCAACAACCCTGGAAAGAATAGCTGAGGTATTACAGATAACTGCTTGAGGGAATAATCCATTGATTTATTAACCCATACAATTATAAATAATTGACATGTGTTAAGGTCCTACCTCCTGCTACATGGTAAACAATCACAAGCGATTTAAAATCCTAAATTGTAATAATCTATTCTTAGAAATATTCTTTTACTAATCAAATCAAGAAAGACAAGCCTTTATTTTTATTTATTCTGACTGATTTTTAAACTATTGCTTGATTACCTACCCATTATTAAAGCTCCCCTTTGACTCATTTCTCAGTTAGTCAGTGATGAATTAGTGGCACATATGCAGAAATCTATGTTATAATGTTGGTCATTGATTGATAGTTAAGTCTCTCTCTCTCTCTCTCTCTCTCTCTCTCTCTCTCTATCTCTCTCTCTCTCTCTCTCTCTCTCTCTCTCTCTCTCTCTCTCTCTCTCTCTCTCTCTCTCTCTCTCTCTCTCTCTCTCTCTCTCTCTCTCTCTCTCTCTCTCTCTCTCCTCCAGGCAGCATGGAGAACCCTCCAGCATCACACTCCTCGCAAAGACCATGTCAAAGTCAAAATGAAAACTACTGTGCCAACGGGGGGGTGTGCATGTTACCCCAAGACAGCGACAAGCCCTCCTGCATGTAAGACATTGTATCTCACATACGTTTAACAAAAGGTTCCTATAGGCTTCTCCTCCACATGCACATGTTGGTGCGTGTCGGCTCTGGAATGCACTCACATTATGTTTTTCTCTTTTTTCTGCAGCTGCAAGTTCTCATACACCGGGCAACGCTGCCTCTTCGTCATTTCACCCTCTCACACTCTACTTGAGTTAGAGAAGGTGATCGCCGCCAGTTTTGGGGCCATTCTCATCATCTTTGTTCTGGCCATCATCTTTTACTGCTTTGCTCATAAGAGGTGAGCATCTCTGTCCGTACAATGATGCACTGGTATTAAAGAATAGGGGAATGTAGGATCAGGGGTCAAAGCCTCGAAACATTGGAAATACAAATAAATTATGTTATTAAAAATATAGATTAGATAAAACTTTTGTCATTTGAAACCCCTCCCCCTTAATTCATAAGATTAGGTTGACATTTATCTTGTAAATTCTTGTACAGATTTACCTTTTTTTTTTTCTCTTGAAAAATTATAATAGTCTCTCCCTCACTACAACCATAACCCTAACCCTTTGATTAAATTATGTTTTTAAAAAAAATGTTTCAAATGATTAGCATTGGTGTATCCACAGTAGTTTATATATTGCTTTATATACTTTGTTTAAAATGTTTTGAATTGTTTCCAAGCATAATTAAATGTATACTAATCCAGATCTTTCTTATTTTCAGGTGTAGAAAATCTGCCCCGCTCCTAAAGTCTGCACCGTCTGAGTCGTCAGTGTGAACCCTACCAGCTCATCTGTTTGTCGTCTTCTTCATCGTCACCATCTTTTCAGTTATTTATAAACCATAAACCTGCAGCATTGTAAATTATTCACGAACAATTAAGAGACTTTATGGACCTTTTTTCCCCATTTATTGGACATTTGGTGTGCAAAAAGATGACCACTTTTCAGTAAACTGTTTATTTATTTGTAACATGTTAAGATATCAATCACTTAATTGTCTCGTAAAAGGTGCAGGAAGAACAGATATGACTATTTATTGTAACATAGAAATGTATTTATTGATAGCATTCATTTGAAATGTTTTAATAAATGTAAATAACAAATGTATGTGTTGCTGAAAAGGTGGATTAACACACACACACACACACCATTATTAACGTTTAATTTAAGATGATGGAGATTTAAGCTTAACAAGTATTTTTGAACTTACCATTTTGGAGTATAAAAGATAAACATATATAGAAGTATAAAATAGAAGTGTCCCTAGACTCATTATACCCATATATAGGTACCCAAATATTGAGCCATTGAACAACTATTACAAATGCTGTCTGCTACGGTCCATGTACTACTCCCTTGAATACACATTGATCTAAAGATTAACTTTAGAAGAGTCTTTTTTGTGTTGGTTGTTTTTAGAATACTTCAAAATAAAATATTTAAACAACAAATATTTTTTTCAGTCCAAATTAGGTTGGGTTTTGCAAATGATTATTTTTTTTATTGATTTTTTAAAAACAAGGAACAGTGTACATTAATCAACATATTAAAAATATAAATGTACTCGAATTAGCCAAAATGCTAGTTTTCACCGATAGTCCCTTCGCATGATGGTGATCCTAAAAGCAAGAATGAAAACACCACCACATTGTTATACAAAAAAAAGTACATATTTACAATAGATGACATCACTGAATACAGGTAAGGAGCAAGTCATAATAATAAAGAAAACATTCACAATATGCACTCATACACACACATATCAGTGCTGACACTTGGTTATCAATGAGCTACTTTTTAACACTGTGCTTGAATGAGTAATAGGATGAGGACTCTCTTATAGATTGTGGTATTGAATTCCATTGATGGGATGAAAAGACAGCCTGGCTAAATGCACTTTTCCTAAATGGGATGGTGCAGTCTCCCCTCGCCGCAGTTCTAGTAGCCCTGGTTGAGGTGGGCTTTAGGCTGATGAAGCCAGCCAGAGGAGGAGGAGCCAACCCACGAGTGATCTTGTAAACTAAGCAGACATTTGTGTATACTATGAGATTTTCCCAGTTGAACAGATTATACTTTCTAACAATGTGGCAATAATGATACCGGAATGGCTTTTTGTCTAGTGTTTCGAGAGCTTGTTTATATAATGATTCCAGTGGTTTTAGAGCTGTAGAGTGTGCATTAGGCCAGCTTATCAGACAGTAGTTGATGTGGGAGAGAACCATTGAGTGAAGGTATAGCTTAGCTGCTGCAGTTGATAGGAAGTTTCTAATGTATCTGAAATTTGACAGGTTGAACTTCACTTTATTGCAGACCTTTTTGATGTGGGTTTTCAAACTGAGGTTTGTGTCAATGTGTACTCCTAGGTTGCAACCTCTTCTGCGGTTTTGCCATGAGTAAAAACAACTGTATCATCAGCAGACATTAATACATCACATTGTCCACACACAGAAGGCAGATCATTGATGTACATGCTAAACAGGATTGGGCCCAATACAGAGCCCTGCGGTACTCCAGTTGACAGACATAGCGCACTAGACTTACTGTATGGTTCTCAATTTTAACACATTGGGAGCGGGATGAAAGATACAATTTAAATTGGTTGGTGAATTCTATAGAAACATGTAAGTTGAGCATTTTTTGCAATACGATGATATCCAATCCAATCCAATCCATTTGATTTATATAGCACATTTAAAAACAACAGAGTTGAACAAAGTGCTGTACATCAACAACTGTATAAAAACATAGCAAAAATACAAAAAACAGACAGGACATGAAACAAATGTAATACGAGACAATGAAACCAGATCACGAATAAAACGAATAAATATATCTATATAAACATATACACACATAAACATATGCTCACACATCCATACCAACATCCATACCAACATGCATACATGCCCGCACATTATTTAAATACAGTATTTTTATATTGTAAACTGTATTTAAATAATGTGCGGGCATGTATGCATGTTGGTATGGATGTGTGAGCATATGTTTATGTGTGTATATGTTTATATAGATATATTTATTCGTTTTATGTGGAAATGCACTGCGAGGATTGCTTTTTTTTAAATGTCGTTGTACCTGGTGCGATGACAATAAAGGAATTCTATTCTATCAGAAGCCACCGACTGAAAAAACTCTCCTATATCACGTAAAAACAATACAAAACACTAGTAAGGTAAAAAAAAAAAAAAAACACATTTTACAGCACAAGTGTCACCTGGTCTGTACAGTAAAAGCCAAGGAAAATAAGTGGGTTTTTAAGCGAGATTTAAAAACAGGCAGAGTTGGAGCAAGTCTAACCTGGAGGGGTAATTTGTTCCATAACTTTGGAGCTGCAACAGCAAAGGCTCTGTCTCCCCGCTGCTTTAGGCTCGATTTTGGGACTACCAGAAGGAGTCTGTCAGCAGACCTCAGTGACCGTGTGGGTGTGTATGGTTTTAAAAGATCTGCCAGGTACGGTGGGGCTAAACCGTTCAGGGCCTTGTATGCAAACAGCAACATTTTAAACTGTATTCTAAAATGGACTGGTAGCCAGTGTAAAGAGGCGAGTACAGGCGTAATATGTTCACGCCTGCCTGTCCTTGTAAGGAGGCGTGCAGCAGCATTCTGGACCAGCTGTAGGCGTGACAGGGAAGCCTTGGTCACTCCAATAAAGAGCATTGCAGTAATCCAGTTTAGTGGATATAAAACAATGTATTATCTTCTCAAAGTCATTAAAAGAAAGGAAAGGCTTGACCTTTGCTAAAAGTCTTAGCTGAAAGAAGCTGGATTTGACCACAGAGTTAATCTGTTTGTCTTGTTTAAAATCACGATCAATCCGTACTCCCAGGTTTGTGACAATGGGTTTCACATATGGGACAAGAGAATCCAGCCCAGGCGGGGCATTGGGGCCACCACTGGGTCCAAATATTATGACCTTTGTCTTTTTTTCATTTAATTTAAAAAAGTTCAAGGCCATCCAGGCTCTGATGTCCTGCAGACAGTCAGACAGGTGTTGCTGAGGGTTTGGGTCATTTATTTTCAGGGGCATGTAGATTTGCGAGTCATCTGCATAAAAATGAAATGAGACATGATTAACAGTGTCAAAAGCTTTCCGTAAATCAAGGAACACGGCCCCCACAACCCCACCCCTGTCCATCGATGCCTTAACTTTCACTCTGTGGAGTGATTAGCCCTGAATCCAAATTGCATTGGATGCAGTGGGAAGGAGCTGTTGTTGAGATGATTGATGATCAGTTTTTCAAATACCTTGGATACCATGGGCAAGATATTGATGGGCCCGTAGTTGGATGTCATGAGAGGGTCACCACCTTTGAATAACGGGACCACAACAGCAGGCTTAATCTGACGTTTATTTTCTAGGTTATTCAAAGGAATCATTTGAAATATAAAATATTATAAATAAGTGAAAAATGTACAATCCAGTTTCTCAAAGTCAGAGTTGATTTCTTTACATTTTATTTTATTTTCAATTCAAAGCCCAAATGTATTCAGTATTTTTGAACTTACCATTTTGGAGTATAAAAGATAAACATATATAGAAATATAAAATAGAAGTGTCCCTAGACTCATTATACCCATATATAGGTAGCCAAATATTGAGCCATTGAACAACTATTACAAATGCTGTCTAAGTTTTGTTTAAGTTACATATAAAACTCGATATGTGAGAGGCTGAAAGCAGACTTTTGCATTAAAAATATTAGATTACTTTAAACTCAGCGATTATTATAATAGTTGGTTATTATTTGCATGTTGGTTGACTATCATTACAGCTCTGCATTTGATGGTTCCGTATTATACTACTTCATTGCAATTTGAGTAAGAAATATTATCATTTTTTAAATAGATATTTTTACTCCATATTAATAGATCCAGATGTTAGTGCTACAACAGTGAAGTGCTCAAGGAGTTATTTTGCATTAATATTAACCTTTGATATAATAATTCAACTCAGACAGGGGCTATTATGCTGCAAAAAAACGACTTTAAGTACATTTCTGTTGGTCATTTTCACTTTTACTTAAGTTGCATTTTTAAATGAATGTAAATCCATTATATTATCTCCTTTTACTACTTTTGTGAATGCCTACCTTGTTTCTACCTGTTATATTGCAACCTACGATCTGTTATCGGCCTACAACATACAGTATGATCTGTACATTTCAACAAAAAAGATGAAGTTGCATGGATCTGAAGAAGGGTATCAGTGATCAAATGATGACGAAAGCAGCTCCTCCTTTTTTTGTTTTTAGTAAATCGGTGCCTTCAGGATCCGCTTTTTGAATTGGACGTTTGAGTAGCAAATTATCTAAATTACAGGAGTCTCTCACCACACCCAGACCTCAGGAATGAGCCTATTGGTTTTTTAGTTTATATGTGTCAGGAGAGGCATCGCCTTCCCCCTCTTCCTAAAAGTGTTTGGACAAATTGGAAGCGTCTCTGATCCAGCCTGCTCCACACCTGCGGTGCACCGAGCCTGCTGTCAGCGACCTGTGCGCCTCAACATGGGGAACCCTTCGGCGATCCTCTCAATGATCGGTAACGTTTTTTGTTTTGTTTTTTAACAAGTAATTTTAATTAGTTTGACGCTGATTTGATGTGTGGATTAGGATGACCAGGCTTCAGGTGTGTGCAGTTAAAGGGATCATTGTAACGCAGCGTCACACAAAGCTACATTTAAAGGAGGCTAATAAGAAATGGCAATGAAGCCCCTGATATTATATAAGAAGCAGCTAAGAAGCACACCTTACTGTTATCAATTGCAGTTTGACGCAATGTTACTTTACTTCAGTGTGTGTTATGCTATAGGCTATATTAGGTAAACTACTTCAGATTCAAATTGTACAAATCCAAACCTCTTTAAAATCCCCACTCAGGGTAGATGTGTCCCATGTAGACACACTGAATCAGTAATATATACTTTCACATCAATGCATCAGTATTGATAATCAAGAACATAATAACACTCCTAGGGGACATGTTTTGCCAGCACAACAAGTAACCTGGTATGGAAACCCATTAGAGACAAAATAAAATAAATAAACTAAATGTAAACAACACAATATCATCAGAATCTCCCACATATGTATGTTTTATTTAAATCAAATATAAAATTGGATTATCCTATTTCGTCTTCACATACTCGAATGGGCGGTCTATGACCATATTAAAATAACAATGAACACGTTGTTATTCATTCAATTGTATAAGGTTGTATGTAGCCCATTTTTTCAGAAATAAACATTTTAATATTTAAAGGTGCAATGCGTAATTCCTGCCCACATCCGCCAAATAATTAGGGGGCAGCATTTCCACTCTTCTACTGGGTTCATACAAGGTACATTTACAGTTATTAGTTATTTAAAGAAAAAAGAAAAACACCAGGGTAAGAATATGCAAAGTTGTCTCCAGGTAGGATGTAAATCATTCTCTGTAAGCCTCTGAGGAGCAGCGCTGTACAGACCTAACTTTTACACTATATTTTGTAAACTGCAGTTACTAAGAAGATCAATACCTACGAAACATACTTATATTAGGGTCCATCCTGCTGTGTAATGAATATTTTGACAATCATTTAAAGTTTTTCTATTGCCATTTATGTGAAATTAAGGAGACATTTAACTTCTAATGAAAATATATCTGAAAAGTGTGTCCACTTCTCTAAAATGCAGCTAATGTCAATTTGAAAGAATCTCTCAAGGAATAATAATGTCTTCCCCTTTGCATCAAATCTTTAATGAGATAAAGATACTGCAGCAGTTTGAATTTTGCGTAGTGAGTATTCTAGGTTAGATTTAATTAGTAAATTATAAATAATTAGGATTATTTGTTAAATTAGGCAATATGATGAGTTATCACCAAATCGAAGGCCTGTTTCCTGAGTTTTATGTTATTTCAGTAATCAGAAATGGAGTGGACGTTTTTTTGGAGTACGTTGAACGTCTTTGCCACATACCTGTGATAAAGAGCTGACGCACAAGCTGAGCTCAGAGCCTGAGTGATGCTAACGGATGTTGGCAATCAAACCGGGAATGGAAGATTTATTATAGCGGTCTGAATAAATCTGTCATATGCTTGTTGTTTGGGCTCATTTTTGTCCATAAAACTTATATTACAACTGGCTTATATAAACTGATGCGTACCCAGGAGTACAGAGAACCTTTGTTTAAGTAAATGCACCAATTCTAAATACTCAATTACAATAACTACATTTAAAATTCAACTTAGACCATCAAAATGTATTTGAATAATCAGGAAACATATTCTTTCTGCAGATAAAATGTCCTTTGTGTCCCTCTTTTAAGTTATAGTTAAATTAAAAGTGTTACAAAACAAATCAGAGGGGTCATGAGATAATTTGTCGAAGAGCCATGAAGAACATAAAGACATACAGTTTGTCTCCTTTTTTTCCTTCTTCTTCTAACAACAACATTCTGCTGCATACATTTGTATTCATGCTTTTGCCTTTTTGTAATATATTGAATACTTAATTTGGGCATTGTGCTGATATAAAACATTTATCAAATCAAGTTTTATTTATAAAGCACATTTAAAAGCGATTTTTGGTCGAGCCAAAGTGCTGTACATGTAATAAAAACACATTACTACAATCACAATAAAAGACAATAAATTACAACAGCTATATAAAAAACACAGGGAAAAGTCAGGAGTTGTGCTCCGCTCTGACTAGAAGGCCAGGGAGAAGAAGTGAGTCTTAAGAGTAGATTTCAAACCCCCTAGGGTCTGGGCCGACCTCACATGGAGGGGCAGAGTGTTCAGAGCCTAGGGCCCGCTGCTGCGAAAGCTCGATGCCCTCGGGTTTTGAGCCTGGTCTTGGGCACGATCAGCAGCAGCTGATCAGGTCAGCAGACCTTAATGCTCTGGCTGGGGTGTGGCGATGGAGGAGTTTGGCTATATAAGCCGGAGCCAGCCCATTTAGTGCTTTAAAAACAAATAAAAGAAGTTTAAAATCAATACGGAACCGAATTGGAAGCCAGTGTAATGAGGCCAGAATTGGGGTGATGTGGTCACGTTTTTTGTGGCCAGTCAGTAGACGTGCAGCTGCGTTCTGGACTAGCTGCAGGCGTCTAATTGAGGCCTGGTCCATACCCACGTATATAGCGTTGCAGTAGTCCAGTCTTGAGGTTACGAAGGCGTTAATAACCCTTTCTAAGTTTTTAAAAGATAAATACGACTTGGTTTTGGCCAATAGTCTTATTTTAAAATAGCAGGATTTGACTACGGTGCTGACCTGCTTATCAAATTTAAAGGTGCTAGTGAAGGTCACTCCAAGGTTCGTGATAGAGGAGAGGATGTTATTATTGAGAGAGCCCAGAATATCAACCGGAGAGGCTGGCGGTTGGGGTCCAAAAAAGATGACCTCAGTCTTGCTCTCGTTGAGGTTGAGAAAGTTTTTACTCAGCCAGGATTTTATCTCTGTTAAGCAGTCCATCAATAGCTGTAGTGAGTGTTTGACATTTGCTTTGAGAGGCAGATAGATCTGTACATCGTTTAACCACTGAGACGTTTAGAGATTAAATCTGCTACTCACAACTCACAGACATCTGGAAGGGGTCCCAACTAGACACTATACTTATTGGTAAGGATTCACAAGCCAAACTAGTTGTGAATGGCAAAATAACATTAACTGTAGTGGTAAAACATATAAAGTGAAGTAAAAATAGAATATTTTCCTCTGAGAATACTGAATAAAGTACCACACATTTGAGGTTGAGTGTGTCAATGTCTCAATACATGTACACTGCAAGTCCTTACAGGATAATTGTAAAAATGTGTCATTTGGAAGTTTTTTGCGTCTAATAAACTTGAGTTTTTATGATAAACCAGTTATCCATCATGATAAGAGTAGTTTGTCTGCCCTGATAATCTTCCTTCTGTATAAAGTAAGCTTGTTGTGACACTGTCCACTTTACCCTGTATTCATTTACATTTTTATCATCCAGTTCTGTGTTGCATATTATACTTTTCACAAAGTCAGAAGAGTCCAAATCCAACTGCTGTGCAAAATACTTTTTAAAAAGTGAAAATTCTGTCCAAATGAATGCGGTAAGGTCAGAAGGGGGTCATGGTCACATTGGCTCTGGCAAGATTAGAGTGAGTCATCATTAATGATGTTAATGTGCTGATCAGACAGTGACTAAACAATAATAGGCAAAAGTTCCCTAAGTTCTTTCCTCTAATCATCCGAATCAGAAACACCCAACAACCGGGCTGAAAATATCTGTGCATCCATAACAACAGACAGAAACCCAGAGAGGGCCGGCTTTTATAGCGAGTTTATCCAGATTCAGGTTCCAGGTTCAAGTTTTCTCTCCTGCCTGCAGGAATGTGGGCGTTCTACAGATTCAGCACATTAACAGTTGTGCAGGCTGCTACAGGCATGTGGGGCTGGGCACCATGAGCCACACCGCATCAAATCATCATCATGCTCTAGCTAGGCAGGAAATCTGTTTATTCTCTGCAAAAAAACATTTTCCTTACAGTTTTTACTTCTGATTTTAGTCTTGCAAGTTTTGTAAAACAGTTAACAAAAATGTAAATCAATTTGGGGTGTTGGCGATTCATAATTAATATAACAATCCCCCTTCTAATGTACAATGTCATATTTCAAAAGCACATTTATTTTGCATGTAATATTTCATTTATTTCAATCAAGTTCTCAGTTTAAATGTCGAATGAAAGTCATTTATAATGAAAAGTCAAGTAGAAGTCACATTAAAAGTTTTCATGTGGGAGAACATGTTTTAGGTTATATTTTGTTTTCCTTATCTTAAATAAATGAATAAATACACTGAAAAACCTGAAATGTTGACTTTAATTAAATGTATTATGTCAACAAACTTCACATAACTGTATTAGGTGAGTTGAAAGCAATAATATTAAGTTGAATCTAATATTTTTTTTATTTAAACCTAATATATTTGCTGAAATATGTCGACATAATACATTTAATTAAAGTCAACATTTCAGTTTTTCAATGTAAGAATGTCAACTGTGATGTCAAATATCAAATATGAAAACCAGCTTAATGTCAACCATGCAGCTTGTATTAAGGGATCTTAAATGAGACAAATATTCTCTGTTCAACAGGTGTCATGCTGCTCTGGCCAAATGTCTCCTCCAGACTGCAGACTGCAGACCTGAGCACCTCTCTATCTGCAGGTATTTGCCTGGACAAAATCACTTTAACTTTCAAAAATAAGATATTGTGTGAGGATGAATCATTAGGGCATTGTCAGAAATCAGGATGTGCTGCTTTTCTCTGAATTATGGTAAAGATCTATGAGTTTTGGTCTCTTGATAAGAGGTTTTATTTTGCGGCCTAGTTATGAAGATCAGGTCTGTATGTTGTATCTCAAGAATAATGCATTGAATTAGCTGTCTTGGTTTTTCAGGACAGAGAGAAGAGCGCCCTCATGTGGTGAAACGATCAACACAGAATTGCGGCAGTACGTTTGACAGCTTCTGCATGAACCATGGCCAGTGCATGCTGCTGGTGGACATGAACGGACAACACTGCCAGTACGTGTGTGTGTGTGTGTGTGTGTGTGTGGTGTGTGTGTGTGTGTGTGTGTGTGTGTGTGTGTGTGTGTGTGTGTGTGTGTGTGTGGTGTGTGTGTGTGTGTGTGTGGTGTGTGTGTGTGTGTGTGTGTGTGTGTGTGTGGTGTGTGTGTGTGTGTGTGTGTGTGTGTGTGTGTGTGTGTGTGTGTGTGTGTGTGTGGTGTGTGTGTGTGTGTGTGTGTGTGTGTGTGTGTGTGTGTGTGTGTGTGTGTGTGTGTGTGTGTGTGTGTGTGTGTGTGTGTGTGTGTGTGTGTGTGTGTGTGTGTTTTAATTTTCAGCTATAACCGTTATTTTTGTGTTGCAGGTGTGAGACAGGCTTCTACGGCCCAAGGTGTAGCAAAGTGGAGTTTGTGGTTAAAGGATTAGGGGAAGATCAGATAGTTGTCATCATTTTCTGTGTGAGTCTGCTGATTATAGGTCTGGCTGGAGTACTGTACTTCTTCTGCAAATGGTAAGGCTTTGCTCTGTAAATGTGGGTTTTGTGTATGTCTGTGTTCCTGGATTTGATGTCATAAATGATCAGAAACCAGTGTTTATGCTGCAGCATCACAGCTTCCATTAAAGTAGCATTCATGTCTAGATTTCTCAAAACACCACAGTTTTGTGTGCAACTCATAATTGAAATAATGATGTATTGAATTGTTTGTTCACTCTCACAGCTTACATAGCGTCTTCATCAGCTTCAACAAGCAGCTTTCTTCAGTAAAACAGCCCTAAATAATACCTTACAATACCTGACCAGCAGGGACACAGTTAGTTGTCTATTTTGTGGTAGTTCATACTCCTACTCTGCTTAGGTTTTTAAGCAAATATCGTCCTTTTTTTCACGAATTACAAAAAGATGAATTTAAACTGTCATCATGTCTAACCACCAGCACCTACAGGTGTAGCCCGTTTCAAATCATGCCTCATGGTCTAAAGGCAGGCCCTAGAATCCTGAGGGATGGGCAAATACACAACAAGCTTATTTTTTTACATTTGAAAGATAGTTCTTAAGACATTTCATCATGTTCCCCTGCTCTTTTTTGTGGATTTTGGAATTCAAACTAAAAGATCTGGTTAGCAACTTTTTTTTTAGATTAAATAAATGATGTTCTGTGCTTTTTTTTGTAACAGGTATAAGAAAAACAAATGTGGACGTCGACAGAAGCAGCAAGGTTACAAAGGAGTCCAGATAGCTTAGAGTCCTCTCACACACACACACACACACACACACACACACACACACACACACACACACACACACACACACACACACACACACACACACACACACACACACACACACACACACCACACACACACACACACCACACACACACACCACACCCGCCAGAAAAGGCAAACCAGTATATTCCCAGTTTCCTAAAATAACATTTGAACACACCTCTGTGTCCTGGTGATCTCACACCAGCAGGTATACAGGATGTCACTTCATAAAGCCTGTAAATCGGCACAAAGAGATGAAAAATGTGTAATAGCTTTTGTTTAGAGCTGCACCTGTTCTAGTGTTACAGTCCCGGCTGCCCTAATGTTTGAAACATGAATGGTGAAGCGCACAAAGACCGTTTCAGTTGGTGACAATGGATAAATCATGACCCAAATTTGAAAAAAATATGCCTGAACACATTTTAGGCATAATGCAACATACAGTAATTTCTGAACACTTGTCCAGGGTCTGTGCTTCTATGGCAACAACCCATTGTTTAACTGACTAATGAACATACAAATAATCATTGCCATTAAAGATTAAGCTGTAGCATCTTTACACCAAGCCCTATGTGTTAGCAGTCACTGTGAGATATGTTTTTAAGATTATCATTTTTTGATAATGCTGTCTTAACCATCTAGCTGCCTTCTGTCTGCTGATTATTTTCTACAGTAAAGTTCTTCACAGTTCTACCATTTCTGCAATGTTATGCTCATATGTATGGTTTTTCTGTCTTCTGTTGTCACGATGAATATATAAATTTAACAAAAACTGTAATTAAACTAATATTTCTATGTTTTATTATATGAAATGTGCTAAGTGAGAAAGAATTTAGATAATTTATTATAAAGTATTAATGTGTAAAATGGTTTCTTGTCTTGTTTTGGAAGCTCTGTTACAAAAATAAACTATTTGACTTTGGTCTCACTTCACATGACATTCTTGTCTGAAGGGTTAAGAGTCTTCACATTTTTCTCACGTATGTATACAGTTTTCACATTGTTCTCCTTTGTGATCAATCATTCCTCTTTTCTTTTGTATATTACATTTTTAAATTGCAGTATCAGCTCTAATTTTACCAGAAAAACATGTTTAATAAAATAAAAACTAAAGCAAAAACATTTCACATTTCCAGCTGACTGTATTTAAATATAAAAAAAAATAAAAAAAGTGTTTTTGCTTTTATTAGTAAAAGTTAATCAGATAAGTAAAATAACTTTCCTAATGTAGGATGCTCCGAGATGGAATCAGAGTCTTGTACTCTAGTCTAGATCTCTAATAAATCAAATCAAAGTCCATTTGTATCGCCCAATATCACAACTCGTTTGTCTCAGTGGGCTTTATAGGTTAAGCAAACAATACAGTTACAGTGAAATGAAAAGACAAGATAGTGTGTAAAATACAAATAGAAATAAAACAAAGTAAAATAACATACAACCAAAGAGAATAGAAATACTTAAAACAATAACATAAAGCACTATAAAATTTAAATAAATACCATAAAATGCCAGCTCTAACTGAAGGTCTCCAACTCACTCTTAAAAGTTTGGACACTCTGCTTCAGGAACTCCAGAGAAAGGGAGCTTGGTCGGTCAACGCTCTGAGTCCTGATCTGTTTTTTTAACAATCTAATAAAGAGCTCAGTAACCTAAAGGCTTCTAAACACCTACTCACATTATGACAGGTGTAATTAATTAAATTAACAACAGCTGCTTTTGATTGACAGTTTCGATGACCAGCCATTGTTGAAACATTACCAGTTGCACCTGTAATGTTCCTGCTCAAAGTGTATAGGGAAAAAGAGAAGAGTAGAAAACGGAAGCACCTAAGATACTGCAGTGGAGACACACAGAAAGCAGTGATCAAGGTAAGTCACTAGAAAATCAGTAGAAGTTTGGAGAGACATATTTCATATACAAGGGACCCCCCTGTGGCCCCCCTCCAAAAATAAAAAAGGTTGCAATATTACAATTTATTGGATAAATAAAATCAGAGACCCGGATGTACAATGGAGATTAAACTGTTCATTACCTTATAAAAGCAAATACTGTTTATGCTTTTTTATAAAATTATCACTTAAAGTTACTAAAACAAATACTCTAAATGAAAAAAACGACTGAAACAAAGTTCTGTAACTTAAATGTACTAAAACAAATACCTTTACAAAAACAAATACCAATTACTGTATTTTATGTTTATTTTACACAATTAATTTATACTGTCTTTGTCTTTTTAACCCACTTTTATTCTGCCCCTCTCATGAAATAACTGGCCCCAGCCTGGCCCCCCTAAAATTGGTCTAGAACTGCCACTGGCTATTTCCTTTTCCATCGATTGATTCTCATCTGATCTTGTGAAAGTTATTGCATCAAACCAAATTCGTATTATTATATAACTATTTTTGTTAACTAAATCTGACTTTAGGGTTTGAAGGTTACCCTGCACTTAAAATAATGCTATGAAATAGCATTATTTTTCTTCAAGTTGTATTTTGTTGGACAAACGCACTTATTGTAAGTCGCTTTGGATAAAAGCGTCAGCTAAATGCAATGTAATGTAAAAATAGCTACGTTTGTATGTCCTGGATGCAGGGTTGAGCTAATCTGTAACTGCTTCAACACTATTCTCTTACTCATCAGTGCTTCGCCCCGAGTCAATGAGCTGTCTTGAATGTTCTTTAGCAGTGAGCACACATAAACTTGAACTCTCTTAACATAACTTAAGACATACTTAAAAACACATAAGCATTAAGTTACACACACAAAGGCCCAAACAAACCCATTAAGTGGCCCTCATTTTATTCTAAATAAAGAACCTGTGCAGCAACATATCCGAAATTCAAGAATAGCTATGCTAATATCTACTGTGCTCATTCTGTGTAACAGTTATTACCTAATTATTGCATACGCAATAGTAGTTGGCTCATTGCAGTGAGTAATCTGGTTGCCGGAAGCCCGTAAAGCTGCAACCTTGTGTGTCATTTAAGAAGACAAAAACGTCCACGTGTACCATGTACATATTTTTGCAGCTCAAATATGGCTCTAATATTTAACTGTAGCCTCTGCTTCTAGGGGTGGTAATGTTGGTCTCTTGTGTCACCCCTGAAGTATCTCGACTGCTATTGGATAAATTGCCATGAAACACAGACATTCATAATCCCCAGAGCAGGAACACTCAAGACTGCCTTTTCCTCTGGTGCTTCTGCCATAACTTTTCACTTATTCAGTGAAACGTCTTAAAATGAATCGGCTCACACTTTAGTACAGGTATTCATGATTCTGAGAGGATGAATCATAGTGACCACTCTAATTGTAGTAACTTTGGTGATCCCCTGATTTTCGAACACCATACCAACATTAACATTTCTTCCCCAATGATTTGATTTGACATCAGCCTCTGTTCTACTTTGTGATTGCTAATTAGCAAATATTAGCATGCGTAAAATGGTGAACCTGCCACATATCAGCTTGTTAGCATGTTGATAAGTATTAGGCTCAACAAAAAGATTGAGAAAGTTCCACATTTATATCGCTACAAAAATAGATCAACAGAATCTGCATTCATCAGGATAAAATACAGCTGTCACCGAAAAGGCGTTTCGCAAACTGATACAGATGATACAAAGCATTAAAATAACATTAAAATACTAATCTAAGGAAGGGTTGAGACCAAACAGACGTTTAATTCTGACAGATTCAAACCTGTAACTGTTTTGTTACAATGCATGATTCAAACTTATCCAAATAGAAACGATTGTATCTGTGTGTCTGCGTGGAGTTTAGTTTTCCTCCTTCATTAGTTAAGTAGCAGTGTGTTTACAATGGCGGCTATTATGAGGTACTTCTCTCCTGGCCTGTGTCACACTTTCCACACGTTCATATCACATATCCCCAATGCCATCACACATAATCCAAACAATTCAATTCCAAAGCCTTCATAAACAAAACCAGTAAGGAGCTTCTGGTCGTTGTTGAAGGTTCCCAGCATTCCTGGCAGGTTTGTATTGGATCGCACCAGAGCTGGAGGATGGGTCATGCTCTGAGTGCAGACACAACAACATAACCAACACACCCATCTGTGCAGCATCCCCACCCAAGCCTTAAGGTCTCCTCTTGGTTACAGTGTACTAAAATAGTAACATCATTTAATCAGACCACACACACACACACACACACACACACACACACACACACACACACACACACACACACACACACACACACACACACACACACACACACGTGTTGTCATGTTTTCAAAACATAAAAGAAGGTTACAAAAAAATTGTGAATTTGATTCACATTGTTCCTGATTACCATCTTTCATCTGTGGCTCACGAGGTGGAGCAAGCAATTTATGATTGTGATTATTGCTTTTCATGCATGTATTTTCTTTCTGTAAATTGTAGAATTGCAGTGATGACCTCGACTTTCAGTTTATTACCAACACAAGCGTATGTTCATCATCTGTTAAACTCATTAAACGTTCTCACACTTTGAATATTCCCAAACTAAAATACAAATTATGTCTATGAAATCAGCTTTTTTTCAGTTTTTGTAAAGTTGAAACAAGGTCTTCACTTGTATCAGAGTTGTGAGTGTTTTTTTGTTTTTTTGTGAGTGTGTGTCTATGTAGCTAATGGAATCACTTGGTAACTTTGGCCTGATTCTTGAGCATAGAGGGAGACGTGCGGAGGCAATAACAATTACAGAATACATTAAAATGTTTTGTGTCTTGGTTTTGTTCAGGATTATTATTCAAGTCAGAAGCCTTTTTATATGTGAAGGCATAGGATGCTTAATCGATTGCCCCAGGCGATATACACACACCCACACCCACACCCACACACACCCACACACACACACACACACACACACACACACACACACACACACACACACACACACACACACACACACACACAAACACGCCCTTTCGTTGTTGCATATAAGAGGCAGGCGTTGGTCTATAAAAGCTGAAGCTGCACCCAGTGGAGGTAAAGAGAGCAAATCACAACCTCTATCAGCAGGGGAGACACACACACTTGCACACACAGATACACAGATTAGCTGCCATACACACAACAATCTTCCTGGGATATGAACCCTCTCATCGTCACCTGTCTCTTCTGCTTCGGTAAGTCTGGACATGTACTGTATATTCTGTGTGCAGAGAGTGTGAATTGATGAAATGGAAAGAAAGATAAAAGTAAAATGGTATGAGGGCAGAGGGAGAGAGCTACTGTAGAGGAAGAAATAGATGTTTCTGCAAGTGAGAACAGGAAAAGGATATTCATTTGTTTGAGAGAAATAATTATTTGTGTCAGAAGTGTCAACATATTTACATATAAAGCTTTGATTGAATGTTTTTCGTGATTGTTGTTGTTGTTGGTGTGAATGGTGCGTTCAGGTACAGTGCAGTTCTGGATGTGGACTGGTTGTACTGGTTTCAGTTTGTCTAATTTACAAGATGTCAATATTTTAAGATAAATGGATGACTCAGATGTATGTGGTCCATGATTATAGTCTACATTACATAGTAAAAGGAAGTAAGGAACCTTTAGTTTTTGTTCATCATAGAAAAAAAGGAGAACTGTTGTCTGTTTCCTTGTTGCTTTTTAAGTATAATATTAAACATATCAGATATCAGCTAAATATAATTCTTCACAGTTCTACTCTTAGTTTAGTTTCTAAACTTTTATAACTTTAAAAGAGCATTATCTATGTTCCTATTTACTGATTTTTGACAATAAATGACATCATGTGATATGAACTTTTACCCTAATAATCGTATCCATATCCATATGCGGATTTGATGTGATCGCCCGGACATTCCCTTTATCTTTGTGTCCTGTGTGTTTTCCACTAGTCTCCGGTGCTTTAGGTGCCCAGGGTTCTGGGGCCACTTTCTCTGATGAACTATCTGGAGTGACCACGG